TCTTCAAATACTCAATTTTTGCTGAATTTGGATATGACCGATTCTGTTGCTAAATGTGTACCCATCACACTGGACAACCTTGTAGGAAGCCTGTGGCAAAGATGGTCTCTGCTGCACACAACTCTCTTAAAACATGGTTTCTAAACCTGGCTTATAATCAGAATCACCTGGAAATCCTAGTAGTATGCAGAATGCCACACTTCACATTCTAGGGACTCTATATTAATAAGTCTACAGAGAAGCCTAATTATATTCTTTCTCTCTCTCCTCTAGGTGATTCTGAAGTTTGATGCATCTTAGGCATCACTAGATTAGACTCAGTCTCCTTTTTTCATCAGCATTCCCACTGCAACATAATACCCAACAGCTCCCACCCACTCTACCACAATTACTCCTAACAAGGATCTCCTTGTTGCTCAGGCTACAGTTTCAACCATTTACTGAGAACCTATGAATTCTACTGTCCAGGCCAGGCATCCTGTTATGTGTTAGAGATAAAATGGTGAGCAAGACCTTTCTCTTATCATGTAGTTCAAACTCAGACTTTGTGTGGGCCTATTCCTTACCTGATAAGTGAAAGTTTAATAAAGAAAAAGAAAGAAAGAAATTTTGTGTAGTGTCCTTAGAAATATTAGTGTAGATATAGATTTTTGAAATGTTATGATGACTCTGTAATAGCTAAAAAAGATTCCATTTTATGATATATTTTCTTTTGATTAAACTTAATCACCTCTTTACATTAAAATTTAAACTACACAAGCAAGATCCAAAATAAGAACTGATAAATAAGTATATTTATTTGTTGATGTTTAATACATGAATAGTGATTATTTTTCTCTTTATCTGTCTTTTGAACAACCATTCTCTAGTATTTAGTTTTCAGTTAGGGATATCCTTCTGAGACTATTTGTAAGGGAAATGTACCTTTTTACACATACCTGTTATGCTACTATACACAGTGAAACACTTTTTATGTGAGAGATGCTTTTCCCTACATTTTCTATAAATATTTGAATGAAGCATGATAAAACATGTTCATGTTAATTTGCACTATCTCATTTTGGTTTTTGCTTTTTATGCTTTCAAAGATACACATGATTGGTATACAGCATTTTTTTTGACAATCATAAGCTATTTCTCAGTACTAATAACACTTTGGTAATCTGTATTTTCAATGACAATTCTGTTTTTGTAGAATTTTCAATTCTTCCCTTTCATTCAAATATATATTATTTAAAGACTATCCTTGGGGTCTATCCTTTTCTTGCTGGAGGTAGCTCATAATCTTTGTTGGAAAGGCCAACATTTCTGCTAGGTTTCTTGCTTTCCCTAAACCAAGATTTCTGTATCTGTTTCTAGCAATCTTATCAAAATGAGAGATTTATTATTTTAATTTCTATTTAAAGTTTCTCTACATTCTTCATGGTTATAATGCCTGCTATGGTCTGAATGTTTATGTTGCCCAAAATCATATGTTGAAATCCTAATTCCCAAGTAAGGGTATTAAGAGGTGGGCCTTTGGGAGGTGATTAGGTCATGAGGGCGGGGCCCACACAAATGAGATTCATACCCTGATAAAAGACTCCAAAGAGATCCTTGACCTTCCCACCATTCAAATAAATAGCAGGAAGATTCCATCTATGTAAAAAAAAAAAAAAAAAAAAAAAGAGGGCGTCACCAAACACTGAATCTCTCAATGCCTTAATCTTGGATTTCCCAGTCTTCAGAATTGTGACACACGAATTTCTGTTGTTTATAAGCTGCCCAGTATATAGTACTTTATTAAAGCAGCCCAAGTAAACCAAGACAGTACCTCTACAAAAGTATATGTACTTAGATATGACGTAGAGAAGTGACATTTTCTTCTCCTTTTTAAATACATGGAGGAAAGTTCAGAATACACTTTGTGGTATTTGATAACCTAAAAAGAAGGCTTAATCCTTTTGTAGTGATCCCCTCTGTACCCTTTCCTCATCTTCTTCCACATAAAAGATAATTTACAATCAGCTTTTTGGTACTTCATTTTAAAATATGAATTGTCAGTCCATAGTTATCCAAATTTTTGGGAAGAGATTACAGCACAAAGAGACCAAACAAACAGAACTGGAACTATGCTAGAAGGATATTAAATGTTTATTTCTGTGTTAGTTTTATAGATACCTGGCAAGGCCTGGCTACAGTAGCTCATACCTATAGTCCCAGCACTTTGGGAGGCTGAGGTGGGCAGACTGCTTGAGCCCAGGAGGAGTTTGAGGCCAGCCTGAGCAGCATGGCAAAACCTCATCTCTACAATAATACAAAAATAGTTAGGCTTGGTGGCACATGCCTGTAGTCCTAGCTGCTCGAGAGGCTAAGGTGGGAGGATTGCTTGAGCCTAGAAGGTGGAGGTGGCAATGGTGGAGCATGAGGCGACTGCACTCCAGCCTGGGTGACAGAGTGAGACCCTGACAAAAAAAAAAAAAAAGATATATGTCAAGAATGTGCACATACAACATAACATAGGGATAGGACACTATAAAAAAGAAATAATTTGAAAATGTGAACAAACTTCTAGGAAACAAAAGATGATAGCAGAAATTTTAAAATTCAGAAAAATGATGGAAACTAAAGCTAACAGAATATCTTAGAAAGTAAAATCAAGAAGGTGGGCATGTGTTTGACAAATGTGAAACACTAAGGAAGAAGAATTAAGGTTCAAGAACTGAGATTTCAGTTATTCAGGATGGTGATGAGGGAACGCTTAAAAGAATTCAGATACATGGAATATTATGCAAAGGAAAACATGAGCAAGTATTAACTCTAGGAAAATCAAAGATGTGTATAAGAAAGAATATCATCATAATATGCCACTTAACCACAGTATGTGTTATTTACTTAGTCACAATCATTATCTGTCAACTATATAAATGCAATATAAATTACTAAATCAGGACATTGGGAATGGGGGGAGTAGAGGTAATATAAGAGAAAAATCTTCAACTACTGAAAGAGGATGTCTGTATGGAATTCAAGAAACAGTGTAAAAGTATGTTTCTTAGAAATAAGGAGGTGATGAAGAAATGCTGAAAACATGAAAAAACTTCTAGGAAACAAAAAGATGATAGCAGAAATTTTAAAATTCAGAAAAAATGAGGGAAACTAAAGCTAACAGAGTGTCTTAGAAAGTAAAATCAAGAAGAAAGAGTGGGACCTGAGTTGAAACAGAGACTACTATTTTTGTTTACAAGACTCTTAGGGCCCTCTGAATTTTGTTTAAAAAAGTATTTGAATATATTAATCTGATAAGAAACAAAAAAAGAGTTAGTTCATTCTAGTTATCCATTTTAATTCTTCGCTTGTTTTCTTAAGAACAGAGTGGAGGAAGGAAACACCTATTGAATTCCAGCGTGTGAGAAACCTGCGGAAATGCACTATGCATAGCACTTTATTTCATCTGGTGTCGAGGTGCTCTGCTGTTGCACTTCTTTCATTTCCATGTTTTTTGTTTGTTTGTTTGAAGTTCGAAGAACAAAACATGAATTGCCCTTCCTCTATGGAGGGTCTGTAAATAACACCTGCAGCAAATCAAGAGAGAGAGAGAGAGAGAGGGAGAAACAGGGTGAGAGAAAGGCTGCCCGCAGGGTGATGCTGAGGCTGAAGCTGTTCATCTTCAGGTGATGAATGGGAAGCACCTTTACAGAAACACAGAAAGAGACTTTAACTGGTTGTCATGAGGCCTGACATGTTCTAAATTTTGTACATCAGATTAATTCAAATGTTAATAAGAAGAAGGTATAATATCTTGGCATAGTTAGGATCTGCTAATTGCCAGGCACTATTGTAGGTGCTTTATAATATTTTTCTCATGACTACAACTTTGAGAAAGGTATTTTTATCCCCATCTTACAACTAAAGAAAAAGTCAGACCTTAAGTGATTTTCCAAAAAATATCAGCGAAAGGGAAACAATTCAGATTTGTCTAACTAAAATCATGTTGTACTGCATCTTATTTGCTGGGTGTATTATAACCTGAAATATTTTTGAAGACAAATATAAAAAATTTGAGGTTTACATACCATTTTGCATTGTTTGCATCATCATTACCTTACTTAATATGTATGTTTGAGTTAGCTATAGAAACTTTTGGATTGTTTACTGTGTCCTGGAGTGTGATTCCTTTATCACTAGTATATTGCCAGTAGTATTTTAAGTGGGAGGAGAAAAGAACTTTATCTTTTCTTGATATGAAATAAATTTGAGGTATAAAGACAGAATATTGTTCTGCTTTCAATATTTTCAGCGCTTATTATTGGATTATGGAGATATTCCCAATCTAGATGAGTCTCTTATTTATTTATTTTTTATCAAAATCTAGTATGACCAATCTAGATTAGTTTCTAAAATTTATTAATGTCCTTAGAAAAAGAGTGAGAGGTCTCATGCTCAGAAGCTATAGAAAAGTATCAAGGGAGAATTTAATAACAGATGTAACATGTATAGATTTATAAGAATTTAAAAGGTAAACAGATGTCCAGGATTTTGGAAATGAAATAAAATAACTAAGATTAAGGAATTTAAAATATTTTTCTCTCTCTTCCTCTCTTCTGTGCTAATAAGTAGTGGAATGACTTGTAGACAGAGAGCCACCAGGAACCTTAGGTCTTCCATACACTTTTAAGCAGCCAGGGAATAATAGTATATTGGCATCTCTCTTACGAAGCAATATGTCTTTCTCTTTCCCTCCCTCCCTCCCTCCTCCTTCCCTCCTTCCTCCCTCCTTTCTTTCTTTCTTTCTTTCTTTCTTTCTTTCTTTCTTTCTTTCTTTCTTTCTTTCTTTCTTTCTTTCTCTTTCTTTCTTTCTTTCTCTTTCTTTCTTTCTTTCTCTTTCTTTCTTTTTCTTTCTTTCTTTCTCTTTCTTTCTTTCCTTCTTCCCTTTTTTTTTCTTTCTTCCTTTCTTTTCTTTCTCTCTCTCTTTCTTTCTTTCTCTTTCTGGAATAACTTGAGATGTATTATTTTCCCAGGTACAGAGCTATCGTAAACCCCATGGACATGCAGTCGTCAGGGGCAGTGCTGTGGACCTGTGTGAAAGCCATGGTTATCTGGGTGGTCTCCGTCTTGTTGGCAGTTCCGGAAGCAGTGTTTTCAGAAGTGGCACTCATCAGTAGCTTGGATAATAGCAGCTTCATAGCATGTATCCCCTACCCTCAAACAGATGAATTACATCCAAAGATTCATTCAGTGCTCATTTTCTTGGTCTATTTCCTCATACCACTTGCTATTATTAGCATTTATTATTATCATATTGCAAAGACCTTAATTAAAAGCTCACACAATCTTCCTGGAGAATACAATGAACATACCAAAAAGCAGGTAAGATTAATAGGTGTGGATTGGTGTTGTGCTAGTCAGAACAAGTAACTGCTATTTATTGTTTTACTTCATGGCTCTCAAAGCTATGACTGATGAGAACAGAGCTGGGTCTTCACTGGCCTTAACTAGAAGAGATATGTGGGGATCTCTAATATACGATCATATCACAGCCCTGCAAAGGCTTACTTAGGTTCAGCTTATCAGTAATCTGGATCTGTGATAAGATCTGGAATTCCACCATTAGAAATTAATGTGTTGAAAGGTCTTTCTTTACATGCAGATTTTTTGTAATAAACAATGTAACAAACCAGAAAATTTTCACTTATTTACATATAAGCATACATTTATTTAATTATTGTCTCTTCTCCCATTAACCCACTAAGGATGGCAGGGAGCCTAGGAGAAGAATGCATCAGGAAAGGACTGTAGGACACTGCTTGGAATCTGGGGATGGAATTTGGATGGAAGTCAGAATGGGAGATGAGGGGAATAGCAAGAACAGCAGAAAGGAAACTCAAAGGTGTGAACCATGTATTGCTTCAGCAATACATGACCCAACTCACATTTGTAACTTTCCCTACAAAGATAATATATTCATTTAAAAATTACATCATGCGGGCCGGGCATGGTGGCTCATGCCTGTAATCTCAGCACTTTGGGAGGCCAAGGTGGGTGGATCACCTGAGGTTGGGAGTTCCAGACCAGACTGACCAACATGGAGAAATCCTGTCTCTACTAAAAATGCAAAATTAGCCAGGCGTGATGATGCATGCCTGTAATCCCAGCTACTCGGGAGGCTGAGGCAGGAGAATAACTTGAACCTGGGAGGTGGAGGTTGTGGTGAGCCAAGATTATGTCATCTGGGCAATAAGAGCAAAACTCCATCCTAAAAAAAATTAAATCATGCACCTTATGTACTTTTTCTTCTTTCAAGAATATGCAGTACTAATTTAAGGTAAAAATGAACTGTGTTAATAGCCAAGGAGATAAAAATAGTGTTCATATGAGGAAGTTTCTGGCTGTACACTTGTGTACAGCTAAAAAAGAACTACTGATGGGTTTTGCAGGTACAGAGTAGTTACCGTTGCCTGTTCCCAAATTTAAGGCAAAGAAATTGAATCGCAGATCATTAAAATTTACTGGAATGTAAATGGAGCATTAAGCTGGGGCCTTGGGCATGTTAGCAACAGCAGAAACTGCTAGAGAGTTTTTGCATGGAAGGTAACATTTTTTAATTGACTTAAAAAAATCACTCAATTATTGAAAGCATTGTTAGATAAATTCATAGACTTTATCTAAATGTCTGGCATTGGTGAGGCAGGCAATGTGCTAAGATCATTGGCTCACTGTGCTTTCTGTTTTATATAATCATTTTTATTTGAGCCCTGTGATCCAATTTGTATCTCAGTTAGGTATTTGAGTATTTGCTTTTGGTTTCTAAAGTTGAGTTCTTCTCTTATACACAGCCCTTGCATCACTTTTTAAATTTTAATGGCCTTGGCACTGCCTTGATTTTGTGAATTTCCCTATTGGAACCTATAAACTCTAGCAGGGCAACTGGGTCTTAACATCTGTTGAGAAATAATCTCAATGCCAAGAGTCTGCCTGTGCACTTGAATCTCCCAAGTATAGATTGCTGTGAAATTCTTGCACTCCTGCTCTACCTGGAAGGGATGACACTGCTTAGGAAGATAAATTTCACATTTGACTTTTTTAGCATTGATTGTTGGGTTGCCTAACTTATGCCACTGGGATCTATGTGGAATAGTATCACATTCTGCTTCCTGGCCTGGGCTCCTCTTCAGCTGCACCTTTCTTTTCTTCCTCCATCGCCACTCTAGTGTTCCCTACCATCGGATCTGTTCCAATCCCAAACCTTTCCAGTCTTCCTCTCAATATTCTAGTTGACAACCAATAGTATTAACTCAGAAAATACTATGATAACTACTGCCAATGTCTTTAGATAAATTAGGTTTCCATATTCATGTTGCCTTATTTAAATATTTACAAACTAAACAAATATAAGCTACCCCTTGAACTGTTTATGTTAGGAAATTGATGTGCAATATTTGAATTTTGTCTATTTATGACATTCCAGAATATCTTCTTAAAAACAGTAAACATAGTATGTAAATTTTATGGAAAAGAAACATGGATTTTTATTTGTAAAAGTGACAATATGATAATGTTTACAGGACTCAGAGTTATATCAGATGCTTTTGATTTATATAAGTCAGGAGTTTAAATCTCAAATTTTTTTTTTTCCTGTGGAGTAGTAATTTTAAAAAGTCAAGCCCTGATTCTATAGATAAATTTTTCCTATATAAAACACCCTGATTTTTTTAAATACCTAAGCTTGAATATATTCCATGATTTATTAATTTGCTGAATTTAATACAAAAAGAAATGATTTGTATTTATGCCAAACACAATAACACATTAAGCAAAAAGAAAATAAATAAATAATATGAAGACATAGCCATTTATTAATTTACCCCCTAGTTTTGTATAAGCTGTCAAATAGTTTTTAATGAAAATAATGTAGAGACCAAAATCCATCATTACTTTGGCTAGGAAAATAAATAATTTATGTATTTTGATGTATTATCATGCTGTAAATTTTGCTCTTTCCTGACTTGATAAAGCTGGGACGTGGCTGGTTCCATTTTCACTTTAACCAATGGGATCAATGTCTTATATTTGCAGATGGAAACACGGAGACGCCTGGCTAAAATTGTGCTTGTCTTTGTGGGCTGCTTCGTCTTCTGTTGGTTTCCAAACCACATCCTTTACATGTATCGGTCATTCAACTATAATGAGATTGATCCATCTCTAGGCCACATGATTGTCACCTTAGTTGCCCGGGTTCTGAGTTTTTGCAATTCTTGTGTCAACCCATTTGCTCTTTACCTACTCAGTGAAAGCTTCAGGAGGCATTTCAACAGCCAACTCTGCTGTGGGAGGAAGTCCTATCAAGAAAGAGCAACCGGCTACCTACTCAGCTCTTCAGCTGTGCGTATGACATCTCTGAAAAGCAATGCTAAGAACATGGTGACTAATTCTGTTTTAGTAAATGGGCACAGCATGAAGCAAGAAATGGCACTGTGATTTTGGCCATTCAACTCACTATATGGAGAGAACTTATGGTTAAAATTACTATTCAGCAGATCAGAGCAAAATAATTATCCTATTCTTGCTGTTGCTTAGCTAATTTATTAGAAAATTTTATGATTGACTCAGAAAATGCAAGATATTTTTGCTCTACACTAGACTTTATTTTTTTTCTCTTTTAATTTCCTAATTATTGGAGTGTGGGAAAAGACTTCAAATTGTTACATATAATACATATTATATGTATATACATGTATTTATGTGCACATACATATGTACACACATGTACATTTTATATATTTCACATTAAAAATGATCCCCAAACCATTGAAGTATGTATAATTCAACATTGCTTCATATTTAGGCTGTTGCTAAAGCCAATTCTAGCATATTTCTCTTAGATTTATTTTATCTCGAAGCATGAAATCAATTTTTATATTGACTCAATGATTCAGTGAGGGTAATATTCAAACTCCTATTATTTGAAATACAAGTCAGATTGTCCTGGTGAACTTTATTCACAACTGTTGCATATATATATACACACAAATATACACACACATACATCCTTTATTTGAAGAAAATAAAAAATTCAAGGGTGGAGCTTCATCACATCAATACTTATTGTGATTAGTTCTATATTAATCAATTCATATCTGTAACTTAGAATATGATTAACAGATATAATGAAATTAATATTATGAATTATAAAATAGGTATATGAATATGATTTACATTATGAATATAAAATAGGCATCATATGAATATAATTTATATTATGAATGTAAAATAGGTATCATATGCCCCAAATTGCAGAACTACGACTCAGAAGTTTGCATGACTATCTTTGTATATATTGCTAAATCCTTGACTATTTGGATGATTTTGTATAGATGTGATAAGATTTGTGTTATTCTGGTGAGTTCAACCATTTACTCATCTTCTTTTGCAATAGCCAACTGACAAATATGTGGGATCTCACTTAGGCAGTTTTTTCTTGCTTTTCCTGGATGATACCACAGTTTTCTCTGAATAAATGTCTTCTTTTTTAAGCAAAATGCAAATGTCTTGAATACATTTTAAAAGCTCCTAGTTTTAAAAGCATGTATCAATAAATCTAATATTTAAGTTGATATATTTCATACTATTTCTTTTTTCAGATTTGAGAAAACTTTTTTAGTATACTAAGCTTTTCCTTAAACACCCATAACTCATACTATTTAAGATATAAAATATTCAATTGGATATAGCAATGAGAATAAATATAAACTAAGATATTTTATAATAATAATAATGATAGTGAACACTAATAGTGTTTTCTATGTTATAGGCATAGTCCTAAAACTTTACATGTACTATCCAATTTAATCATCAATATAATCACTGAGGTAAACAAGAGAAGGATCTAATTTGGCAAGGTATGAAGTTATGGAATTGTGGGGAAAGCATCTTTATTTGAAAGAGTACATGATTTAGAAAATTTTGCAGAAACAACAGATTATGTGAACACACTGTCAGACTCCTGAACGTAGGCTTCATTATTTCACTGTGAATTTACCTTTGAAGAAGGTCTTCTTATTATCTCTATAGATTAGGAAATTGAGGCTCAGAGATATTAAATAACTTACAAATATCAAGCTTTGCTTTTTGGAGATCCGGACAACATTTAATAGCTCTGTTAACAAACTAAGCAGGTAGAGCATTATCTGTGCAAATTATTATTTTTTAAATTTCAGATTCAGAGGGTGCATGTATATCTTCTTTTGAGAAATATCTGTTCACGTCCATTGCCTACTTTTTTAATGGGGTTATTCGTTTCCTTCTTATTGATTTGTTTAGGTTCCTTATAAATTTTGCATATTAATTGTATTAGTCCATTTTCATGCTGCTGATAAAGATATATCCGAGACTGGACAATTTATGAAAGAAAGAAGTTTAATGGAATTATAGTCCACATGGCTGGGGAGGCCTCACAATAACTTGTAAAGTGATAGACACATCTTGAATAGTGGAAGATAAGAAAAGAGCTCGGGTAGGGAAGCTCCCCCTTATAAAACTATTGGGTCTCAGGAGACTTATTCACTGTCATGAGAATAGCATGGGAAAGACCTGCCCTCATGATTCAATTACCTCCTTTCAGGTCCCTCTCACAACCTGTGGGAATTCACTATGAGATTTTGGTTGGGACACAGCCAAATCATATCATTCTGCCCTAGACCCTCCCAAATCTCATGTCCTCACATTTCAAAAGCAATCATGCCTTCCCAACAGTCCTCTAAAGTCTTAACTAATTTCAGCATTAACTCAAAAGTTCACAGTCCAAAGTCTCATCTGAGACAAGGCAAGTGCCTTCTGCCTTTGAGCCTGTAAAATTAAAAGTAATTTAGTTACTTCCTAGATACAGTATAGGGTACAGGCATTGGGTAAATACAGCCATTACAGATTAGAGAAATTGACTAAAATGAAGTGTAGGGGGCGCTACAGGCCCCATGCATGTCTGAAATCCAGCAAGGTATTCAAAACTTAAAGCTCCAAATGATCTCTTTTGATTCCATGTCTCATATTCAGGTCAAGTTGATGCCAGAGGGGGGCTCCCACAGCCTTGGGCAGCTCTGCCCCTGTGGCTTTGTGGAATATAGGCCCTCTCTTGGCTGCTTTCATGTGCTGGCATTCAGTATCTGTGGCTTTTCTGAGTGCATGTTGCCAGCTGTTGGTGGATCTACCATTCTGAAGACTGGAGGATGGTGGCCCTCTTCTCACAGATCCACTGGGTGGTGCTCCAGTATAGACTCTGTGTGGGGCTCTGATCCCACATTTTTCTTCTTCACTGCCTTAGCAGAAGTTCTCCATGAGGGCCTCACCCCTGCAGCAAACTTTTGCCTGGGGTTCCAGGCATTTCCATACATCCTCTGAAATCTAGGCAGAGTTTCCCAAACCTCAATTATTAATTTCAGTGCACCTGGAGGCTCAACATCACATGGAAGCTGCCAAGGCTTGGGGCTCCCACCCTCTGAAGCAACAACCTGAGCTGTCCCTTGGCCCCTGTTAGTCATGGCTGGAGCATCTAAGATGCAGAGCATCAAGTTTCTAGACTGTACACAGCAGATAGAACCTTGGCCAGGCCCAAGAAACCATTTTTTCCTCCTAATCCTCTGGCCTGTAATGGGAAGGACTGCCACAAAGGTCTCTGATATGCCCTGGGGACATTTTCCTCATTGTCTTGGTTCCTTGTAACTTATGTAAATTTCTGCTGCCAGCTTGAATTTCTTCTCAGAAAATGAAATTATCTGTTCCATCATATTTTCAGGCTGCAAAATTTCCAAACTTTTATGCTCTGTTTCCCTTTTAAATATGAATGCCTTTAAAAGCACACAAGTCACATCTTGAATGCTTTGCTGCTTAAAAAATTTATTCCACCAGATATTCTAAATCATCTCTCTCAAGTTCAATGTTCCACAAATCTCTAGGGCAAGGGCAAAAGGCCACCAATCTCTGCTAAAACACAACAAGAGTCACCTTTGCTCCAGTTCCCAACTAGTTCCTCATCTCCATTTGAGACCATCTTAGCCTGAATTTCATTTTCCATATCATTATCAGTATCTTGGTCGAAGTAATTCAACAAGTCTCTAGGGAGTTCCAAACTTTCTCACATTTTTCTGTCTTCTTCTTAGCCCTCCAAACTGTTTCAACCTCTGCCTGTTACCCAGTTCCAAAGTTGCTTCCGCATTTTCAGGTATCTTTTCAGCACTACTCCACTCTACTTGTACCAATTTACTGTATTAATCCATTTTCACACTTCTGATAAAGATATACTGGAGACTGGGCAATTTACAAAAGAAAGAGGTTAATGGACTTACAATTCCACATGGCTGGAGAGGCCTCACAATCATGTGGAAGGTGAGATGTATGTCTCACATGGTGGCAGACAAGAGAAGAGAGCTTGTGCAGGGAAACCCCCTTAAGAAACCATAAGATGTCATGAGACTTATTCAGTATAATGAGAACAATATGGGAAAGATCCACCCATCATTCAATTTCCTCTCACTGGGTTCCTCCCATAACACATGGGATTTGGGTGGGAACAGCCTAACCATTTCATTAGTCTTTTGCTGTGCACGATATCACATATGGCATATGTACATTATTTGATATCCAGTTTATATTAAAATTATATTTTAGACTTTGGCATTTGTTGAATTTTACATATATTTAATTTGTATACACTTGTTTTACACTTTTATTTTCCTAAATATTTATATTTGCTTTTGGATATTTAAATATTTCATTTTTCTTATTACAAAATAATATTAAAATAAATAAATCCCACATTTATTTACAAAATCACACTACAGAAGTAAATCAAATTGATGATGCATATTAGTCAGAAGTAGAACAAAAATGCCAAACACCAGATCTGTTAAAATAAACATACATAAATTAAAATAGCCTTTAAAAATATAATTGATTTATTGTTATCTGTAGCTCCATCTAGTAGTATCTTAATTCAAGAGAGTGTTTCAGAGAAAAAGTCTAATATGGTAATGTCTGCCATTACAGAAAGAGATATCCACAAAATATTATTTTTAATGTAGATACAAGACATAGGACATGCCCTTTTATGTGAATCTTCTCTTTAAACCAGGAGTTGTTAAAAAAATAGTATCCTTGGAATACTTTGAATCAGGGACTGCTTCCTGTCAATCATGGCATTTTAAAAATGGATTAATAATATTGTTGAATTAAATTATATAACACATGTAAGTTACTTATCCAATGCCGGAAGTAACTGTTCAGTGAAGATAGCTTTCATCATTTTATTTTAAAGTTACAGTTCCTCATGTAATGAAGTAATAATTAATATTGATTAAACATGTCCTATGTGGCAAACGCTGTGCTATATATTTTATAGGAATACATCATAAAGGCCTATAGGGCAGGTGCTATTCTGGTTCCTATCCTATGAGGAAGATAAGGATGGAAGAACTTGCTGTTGAACTCTTATCTGTTTGACTTTAAATTAATGTATTTTGTCTATAGTCAATACTTCCAGGAGTCTGAAATTCAAGTAATTCATTGAAAGACAGGAGTATGTATGTCAACATTATCTTCACTGACATAAAGAGGTTACCTGACAATGGAAGACAAAAAAGAGTGGTTCTCTTAGTCTGCCTTTGTCTTTTCTAGGGAAGGATAGCAGCTTAAATTCTGAGTCACCCATGTGAATACCTTTATAAAAATAAATTTCATATATAAAAAGCTAGGAGCATAATTTTGCTCCTAAATTTCTTTCTCCCTTTTGTGCATGCTATATTGAAACAGGAGGAAGAGAATAAAAGTTAATGGAACTTTTTGGATATTGAAACATATTTCATTTGACTATTTACTTGTTAGAACAAGTTTGAAATGTTTATATGATCCTATACAGCTTTTAAAAAGTTAATGGGTTTTGAACAAGCATAATATTTCCATTTATTAATATTTTATTACTGGCTTCATTGCTCACTCAGAAAATATTTATATAAAGTTTCTGAGAAATGGGATGTTTCAACCATTAGGCTTCTCTTAAGAAAGATTAACCATGTATATTTCCACTTTGGGTAAATTTATATACATGTATATATATGTATATAAATATGTACATATATACATACATATATAAATATGTATATATATACATATATATATACATGTTTTTCTTAGACTTTTTAAAAACAAGTGGGAAAGATGCAAGCTAACAGATCAGCTATCGTGCAGAAAGTCATTTTTTGTAAAGCTATAAGAGAATAAAAAGAAGAGAGCAAAATAATGTCTGGTTATAACTGCATCTTTAAATAATCATTAGAGAAAACATTACTTATGCATTACATTTTATAACATTTCATTTTCTAAATTACTTTGCCAAGTGTGGTGGGCAATTTGTGTTGGAAGTGATATACAGCACAACTTAACCAAGATTTTATTTCTGGGAACTAACTTTCCTTTTGGGCAAGAAACAGATAATAATTACTCACTATTCTTCATGGTGGATGAATAATATAAATTTAACCCACATAGGCACCTAAAATGTATTTTACAAAATATTTAATGATGCTTAACAGAAATATTTGAAAGGGGAAATTCATTACCATTTGAG